GCCTTTATTACTGTTTCAATTTCTGTCTCAGTTATGGGTCTGCTTAGGTTTTCTAGGTCTTCCTGTTTCAATTTAGGTAGGTTGCATTTGTCCAGGAATCTATCCATTTCTGATAGGTTTACCTGTTTGCTGGAATACAAGTCCTTGTAGTAATTTCTGATGATTCTTTTTATTTCTGTGGTGTCTGTTGTTATGTTTCCTTTTTCATCTCTGATTTTATTGATTTGGGTCTTTTCTCTTCTTTTTTTAGTTAGTTGGGCCAATGGGGTGTCAATTTTGTTTATTTTTTCAAAAAACCAGCTCCTCATTTGGCTGATTTTTTGTAATGTTTTTTGGATTTAATCCTGTTGATTTCTTCTCTGATTTTAATTATTTCTCTTCTCCTACTAGATTTGGGTCTGGTTTGCTGTAGGTTTTCTAGATCCTTGAGGTGAATTGAAAGCTCATCTATTTGGTGCCTTTCCAATTTCTTGATGTAGGCACCTATTGATATAAACTTTCCTCTTAACACTGCTTTTGCTGCGTCCCATAAGTTTTGGTATGTTGTGCTGTTATCCTCATTTACTTCCAGAAAATTTTTGATTTCTCTTTTAATTTCTTCTATGACCCATTGTCCATTCAGGAGCATGTTGTTCAATCTCCATGTGTTTGTGTATGCTCTAGGGATTCCTGAGTTGCTAATTTCCAACTTCATTCCTTTATGGTCTGAGAAGCTGCATGGTATGATTCTAATTCTTTTGGATTTGCTGAGACTTGCTTTATGGCCTAGTATGTGGTCAATCCTAGTGAAGGTTCCATGTACTGCTGAGAAGAATGTAAAATCTTTAGCTGTAGGATTGAAAGTTCTGTAGATATCTGTTAGATCCATTTGGGCTATAGTGTCATTTAAATCTACTGTATCCTTGTTGATATTCTGTCCTGTTGATCTGTCTATTTCTGAGAGTGGAGTATTGAAGTCCCCCAGTACTAAACTGAACCAAGGACGTTCAAGATCTCTACGATGAAAATTACAAAACCTTAAAGAAAGAAATAGAAGAGGATACCAAGAAATGGAAAAATCTTCCATGCTCATGGATTGGAAGAATCAATATTATCAAAATGTCCATTCTCCCAAAAACAATTTATAGATTCAATGCAATACCAATCAAGATACCAAAGACCTTCTTCTCAGATCTGGAAAAAAATGATGCTGAAATTCATATGGAGACACAGGAGACCTCGAATAGCTAAAGCAATCTTGTACAACAAAAATAAAGCTGGAGGCATCACAATACCAGATTTCAGGACATACTACAGGGCAGTTGTAATCAAAACAGCATGGTACTGGTACAGAAACAGATGGATAGACCAATGGAACAGAATTGAAACACCAGAAATCAATCCAAACATCTATAGCCAACTCATATTTGTTCAAGGATCCAAAACCAATCCCTGGAGTAAGGACAGTCTATTCAATAAATGGTGCTGGAAAAATTGGATTTCCACGTGCAGAATCATGAAGCAAGACCCCTACCTTTCACCTTACACAAAAATTCACTCAACATGGATTAAAGACTTAAATCTAGGACCTGACACCATCAAATTATTAGAGAGCATTGGAAAAACCCTGCAAGATATAGGTACCAGCAATGACTTCTTGGAAAACACCCCAGAAGCACAGGCAGTCAAAGCCAAAATTAACATTTGGGATTGCATCAAACTGAGAAGTTTCTGTACTGCAAAAGAAACAGTCAGGAGAGTGAAGAGACAACCGACAGAATGGGAAAATATATTTGCAAACTATGCAACTGATAAAGGGTTGATAACCAGAATCTACAAAGAAATCAAGAAACTCTACAACATCAAAACAAACAACCCACTTAAGAGATGGGCCAAGGACCTCAATAGACATTTTTCAAAAGAGGAAATCCAAATGGCCAACAGGCATATGAAAAAATGTTCAAGATTACTAGCACTCAGGGAAATGCAAATCAAAACCACAATGAGGTTTCACCTCACCCCAGTTAGAATGGCTCACATTCAGAAATCTACCAACAATAGATGCTGGAGAGGATGTGAGGAAAAAAGGACACTAACCCACTCTTGGTGGGAATGCAAATTGGTTAAGCCACTATGGAAGTCAGTCTGGAGATTCCTCAGAAACCTGAACATAACCCTACCATTCAACCCAGCCATCCCACTCCTTGGAATTTACCCAAAGGAAATTAAATTGGCAAACAAACAAGCTGTCTGCACATTAAAGTTTATTGCAGCTCAATTCACAATAGCTAAGACCTGGAACCAACCCAAATGCCCATCAACAGTAGACTGGATAAAGAAATTATGGGACATGTACTCTATAGAATACTATACAGCAGTCAAAAAAAACGAAACCCAGTCATTTGCAACAAGATGGAGGAATTTGGAAAACATCATGCTGAGTGAATTAAGCCAGTCCCAAAGGGACAAATATTATATGTTCTCCCTGATCGGCGACAACTAACTGAGCACCAAAGGGGAAACTTGTTGAAATGAAATGGACACTGTGAGAAACAGTGACTTGATCAGCTCTTGTCCTGATGGTTGATGTACAATGTAATACTTCATCCATTTTAGTATTTTTTTTTGTTCTAGTACCATTGGTTGAACTCTGTAATTAACACACAATTATTCGTAGGTATTTAAATTTTAACTGAAAAGTGATCCCTGTTAGAAATTTGGAAAACATTATGCTGAGTGAAATAAGCCAATCCCAAAGGGACAAATACCACTTGTTCTCCTTGATAGGTGACAACTAACTGAGCACCAAAAAGGAAACCTGTTAAAGTGCAATGAACACTATGAGAAACGGTGACTTGATCAGCCCTCACCCTGACTATTGATGAGCAACTTGATATGTTATCCCTCTTAGTATTTGTTTGTTTGTTTGTTCTACTTAATACTTTTGGTTGAATACTGTAATCAATACACAATTCTTCTTAAGTGCTGAAACTTAACTGAAAAGTGATCACTGTTAAATATAAGAGTGGGAATAAGAGAGGGAAGAGATGTGCAATTTGGGACATGCTCAAGCTGACTTACCTCAAACGGTAGAGTTAGAAACATACCAAGAGAATCCAATTCAATCCCATCAAGGTGGCATGTACCAATGCCATCTCACTAGTACCAGTGATCAATTTCTATTCACAATTGATCATAATGATAGGACTAAGAAACAAAGAGATCACATAAACAAGAATAGTGGTTGCAAATACTAGCTGATAGAATAAAAAAGGGAGAGAATGATCCAACATGGGAAGTGAGATACACAGCAGACCCATAGAATGGCAGATATCCTAAACAGCACTCTGGCCTCAGAATCAGCCCTTAAGGCATGCGGATCCAGCTGAAAAGCCCATGAGACTATTTCAGGCATGGAAAGCCAAGACACTCTGGGGAAAAAAAAAAAAAAAACAAAAAAAAAACCTAAATGAAAGATCTCTGTGAGTGAGATCCCAGTGGAAATAATGGGTCATCAAAGAAGGAAGTACCTTTCTCTGAAGGGAGGAGAGAACTTCCACTTTGACCACGGCCTTGTCTAAATATGATCAGAGTTGCTGAACTCAGGGGACTTCCATAGCCTTGGCAGCTCATGACAAGAGCCTAGGGTGATTACTGAGGCCATAAACAAGAGTGTCAATTTGTTAAGTCAACAACAGGAGTCACTGTGCACTTACTCCTCATGTAGGATCTTTGTCCTTAGTGTGCTGTACATTGAGATTTAATGCTATAACTAGTACTCAAACAGTACTTTTCACTTTATGTTTCTGTGTGGGAGCAAACTGTTGAAATCTTTACTTAATGTATGCTAAACTGATCTTCTGTATATAAAGAGAATTGAAAATGAATCTTGATGTGAATGGAAGGGGAGAGGGAATGGGAAAGGGGAGGGTTGCGGGTGGGACAGACGTTATGGCGGGGGGGAGAGCCATTGTAATCCATAAGCTGTACTTTGGAAATTTATATTCATTAAATAAAAGTTTAAAAAAATAAAAAATAAAAAAATAAAAATTAGAGCAAGCTAAGATTAATTCTGCAACAAAGTGCTTTTTAAAGAGTCTGTGTTGTCTACTTGCACAGTGTTTATAAAATCTACAGTATGGTACCACGAAGTCCTAGGCCTTCATGTTCACTCACCTCCCACCCACTGACTCACAGGGCAACTTCTGGTCTGTGAGCCCCATCCATGGGGAGTGCTCTGTCCAGCTGCACCACTTTTTATTTTTTAGACTGTATTTTTACTACCATCTTTCTAGGTTTGGATATGTTTGGATATTTAGTGTTATAATTGCTTCTGGTATTCAGTATAATAACACATTGTACAGTTTTGTGGCCAAGGAGCAAAAGGCTACAGGCTACAGCCTGAGTATGTGCTGGGTACACCATCTGGGTCTGTATATGTAACTCCTACGGTGTTCACCCAAGGACAAAATTGCCTAACGGTGCCTTTTTCATAGCAGAGCTCTGTCGTTAAGTGACACATGACTATATTTTAAAATGTCCTAGCTTGATGACATAAAGAGCAAGCAACTCTTTGTGCATCTTTATACTATTTTTCAATGTTACAGATTTCCAGAATCCCAAGCTGTGGAGATACTGATAAAAAATAAAAAAATAAAAACACCAAACTGCATCCTAAGAGCTGAGGCCATACTAACTTAAGAAATGTGGAGAACTGTTGTAAAAGCTCTGAACTTAGATGGCTAACTAAGTAAATTCAAGAGACTGCGATGATTTACAAAAACCTGATTTTCTGGTCTTCAGCACTAAACTCTGGTCTTTACACTATGGAATGAAAGCAGGAGGGGAGTGACTTGGGAATATAAACCATTTTAAGGTCACATCTGGTAATTCAATGGAAAGCATACAATTTTCTTCCAGTTGCATTTTGTTTATTATTATAGCAATAATTTAAACTTGGGAGATTCAGAAGTCTAAGAACATAATGTGAAATTATTATTTCCCAAGCTATTAATACTGACCTTTGATATTAAATGTTCCCCTATGTACCTTTTCATCTTCAAAGAAACAAGAATAACTTCCCATTTGTTTGCTGTTAACAATGGTGAACCTAAAGATAATTCAAGTCATTAATATAAGCTTGTTCTCATAAAATTTCTTAATGAAGACATAATTAATCAAATTTAAAATAGAAATAATTCTGTAAATATGCAAATTAGAATATTAGCATAACACTCAAGTGATGGCAAAGTGAAGAATGCTCAGTCAATAAAAGTAGTTAGAATTGCACTTATCTGTGGCCAGCCTTGCAGATTTGACTTTGTATACTCACATGTACTGAGTAGACAGCATGTTTCCCCTGGTACTGATGAGATGATCCTCAAGTAACTCATTCCCTTTTCTCCAGGTCACATTTACTGAATTTACATCCCCAGATGTTGTGAACTGGCATGTGAGCTCTACATTACAAGGCCTTTCTAAAGTGATATTTTTTTCCATCAGCATGCTGGATTGTTCTGTTAGCAACAAAGGGGAGCAAAATGTGGTAGAAGTTACATTCAGGAGGAAATCCAATATATAATGCATTTTAAGTTATTAACAATATCACTGTATCATAGTTTTTTAGTGTAACATTCATTTGTTTCTTTGAAGCATATTCCTTAATCAACTCAGATCTTCTCTTTCTTATGCTCTTTCACAGCCACAGTGGGAAAAAGCCTGGTATAACATTTATAGAATCACAAAACCCTAAGGGTGTGACAGGATTTACTTAAAATCTATAGCTGAGTGAGATTTGTACAATGAGCGAGTACAAAGTGTGCCAAGTACCCTGACAGTGTAGTAACAGTACAGCTGTAACAACTGTAACAACAGATACACATCAGTGGGGTAAGAATGGAATGATTTTTTTTTTCTTTTCAGGAACCCTGTTGCTGGTATTATTATAAGAATGTTTCCTGCATAATGTGGATTGGAGGTGTATGTCATATTCTTTCCTTCCCAGAAAGAACCTACAGAGGGGTGAATAAAGATACAGGCGTCAGACAGAGAACAGAAGCAGCAGCCTGTAGTTATAAATTGAACTGAATTGTAAATACCAGGATGAATTCGTATGGTGTTATATCTTAACAGAATATATATATATATACACATAATATGCACACATGCATGTGTTAAAAAATGCCAACAAAGCATAAGGCATTTGAGGTCCTGAAAACTCTTTTCAGACTAAAAACAGAGCCTCTCCAAAGAACTCAAATGTCCTAAATCTCCACTCCCAGGAGCAATCAAGGAAGACTGACTCATCCCAGAAGTTTCCACACCACCTAAACCTTATTACAAAACTATCACATCTCCTATCTCTTCTCCTAAGGGCTCACTTATCTTTTCAAAAAGCCATTTGATTTTCTGTGAGTGGCCTTTCTCCGCCTCGCCTTTCCCTTATTAAGATGGTATATGGATGAACCTGAAGGACATTATGTTAACTGAAATATGTCAAGCACAACAAGGCAAATATACCAAGTGCTCACTCGGACGTGGGAGCTAAAAACATCAATCTCATAGAAACAGAGAATGGAGCAGTAGTACCAGAGCCAGGCAGAGGCTGGGGAAGGGGGAAGGGGTGAAAGACACTGGACAGTTAACTGTCCAGAGGCACTGCTGGATAGGAGGGATACTTTCTAATGCTCTACAAAACAGTTGGGCAATTGTGGTTGGCAAGAACTGTCTATTTCAAAACAGTTAGTAGAGAGGGTTTTAACTGTTCACAACACAAAGGAGTGATAAATGTTTGAGGTGATGGGATATGCCAACTATTCGGATCTGATCACACATGTGTTGAAATGTCACAGTGGACCTCATAAACATGTAAAATTATTTACAACAATTGAAATATGTATTTTAAAAGATGTTATATAAGCCCCCAATTCTAATTACCTCCTTTGAGCTCCACTTTTCTCTGTAAACTCCTGTATATACATGAGCACATTTGCCTTGTTTCCGGATGATTAGTCACCTTTCGTCAGCTTAACTGGCTGAACCTAAGAAGGTAGAGGAAAGGTTTCTCTTCCCTGTTTGGCACGAGGGACAGGAGAGAAAGTCGCAGGTCCCCACCAATCCCACTCATTGCAGATATTGCAACTAAGGTCTCCAGACCTCAGACCAGGCCAACAAGGGTAAGCTTTCCCTGCCAGTCTCTCCACCTGCAGGGCCAGCATCCCAAATGGACACTGGAAAGTGGACGCTGCTCCACTTTCCATCCAGCTCTCTGCTATGGCCTGGGAAAGCAGTAGAAGATGGCCCAAGTCCTTGGGCCCCTGCATCCACATTGGAGACCCCAAAGAAGCTTCTGTCTCCTGGCTTCGGATGGGTGCAGCTCCAGCCATTGTGGTCATCTGGGAAGTGAACCAGCAGATGGAAGACCTCTCTCTTTCTTTCTCTCTCTTTCTCCCTCTCTCTCTTTCTCTCTTTGCCTCTGCCTCTCTGTAACTCTGTCTTTCAAATAAATTAATAAATCTTAAAAAAAACAGCAAAAACAAAAAAAAAAACTACATTCATTAACCAAGACGATCCAGAATGCAGGAAAACTCTACAAGATGAATGATCTGGCTTTGTCAACAGATAAATTAATAAATGGAGACAGAAGATCTGTGTTTGGGAAACCTTAAAATAAATGATATTTCTAAAACAGCAACTGATGAATCAAATATTTGGGTCCCTGCCACCCATGAGGAACACATGGATTGAGATTCTGGCTCTTTGCCTTAACTTGGTCCAGTCCTGGCTGTTGTGGGTATTTGAGGAGTGAACCAGCAGATGAAAGACTCCCTCTCCTCTTCTTATTTTTCAAAGAAAGAAATAAACTTTTTTAGAATGCCTTAAAAAGAAAGCAAAACTAAGCTGTAAAATTTAAGGATGTAATATTTATTATGCCTGGGTAATAAAGCAATAAATAAAAGTATGGAAGTGATGAGATAAAAATCAGAATAGTGGCAGTTACTTCAAAGGAGAAGGAAGTGTGCTTGCGAGTGGACACTACATTATATAAACCCAAGCTTTTCTCACACTCAGAAGTGGTAGGTAATGCAGAGAACTTAAGTAAAACGTCAAATCACTTTTAATTACACTTAAAACTTTGCAAAATGCTTTCTTAAGCAATGACCAGGTGCAGAGCTTGCAAACAGTGGAGTATACAATTCACGTAAAGTGCTTTGTGAGCACATGCCTGAAATAACTGCTTGTGTAATTGCATACTTGCTGAATTGAACTCTATGCTCAAAAACAGAAAAAACAAAACCTAGGACCTCAATAGGAGGCCAATTATAAAGGGGTAAAATCGAGCACATAAAACTGAAGATATTTACACATTTCATCATATTTGCTGAGCATCTCCTACATGTCAGAAATTATAGTAGGTACTATTAACAGGATAAAATGTTTCAGAATCAACTGTATTTGGTCCAAAGCTTACACATCTATAACTTTCCTCACTTCCCCTTATCTCTGGAAAATACACTTAAAATTTAGTCCTATTTTTCAGTCAAATCTCTGTCAAAAATGTTATTTCATTGATCAGTCTCTTGAAAGAATTAGCTGGCTACACAGTCTGTCCTCACTTGCATTCCAGCTTCAATAAAGCATATTCTGGCGTCCTACCTCATCACACTATAAAATCCACTTTGTTTTAGATGAAAAATGGCCTAACTGTTTAACCTGCTGACTCTTTTCAGAGTTCATGTTTTATTTGAAGTCTCTAGAACACCAGATAGATTACTTATTCCTTGAAATTTCCTTTACTTTGTTTCTACTAATAGAGTTAAACATTTTGTATTTAATATTATGTATTTTAAACATTTTTCTAGCCACACCAAAGTCTTCCAACTACCCTTTAAATGTTGATGCCTCATGGATTTTGCTCTTTGGTCTCTCTACTTCTCAACTTGACACTCCTGTGTTGCATTTAATTGTTACTTAGAATACTCTTTCTTGCTTTGAATACTCTAAGCTCCATTCAAAACTTTCTTGATCTGCAGGCCCATAGCTCCAGGCGTCTACTCAGCATCTAAACCAGATATTCCGCATGCATTTCAAACTCAGTATATCCAAGGGAGATCATTTACCCTTCCCTTCCCCTGACTTGTAACACTGAATCACACACACTTGTATTCAGTTGATTCTACCTCTGAAATATCAAACTTTCCCCTGTTCTCTTCAACTCTTGCTGTTAAAGTCAATATCTTTCTCCAGAATCAGGCAAATGACGTCCTACCTTCTATTAGCTACTTTTTCTTCTTAATTATTTAATAATGACACCAAACTTGTTCTTCTAAAAGTAAAAGTAGGATAATTTAACTGGTATGATTGGATACATATCTTTCATTTGCAAATAAATTATATTCATAATGGATACCTCTTTCCTTATTTGTAAAATGGGACAATACATTATTTCATGAGGCTATAAACAGTGCAATATAAGAAAAGCACTAGTAATATAAGGGTACTTTAAACAGTTTTTGAAAAACAGAATTAAAGAATAAACTTATTTTGTTGAGGAAACATTTTGAAATTACACATACAAGGATCTTTGAAAATTCATGAAAAAGTTATTATGAAACAATTTATGCATGGATTTCAAATAATTTTTGCATCAGAACAATTCATCTTCTGATTCTATTTTCCCACAAACCTCTTGAAGTGCCCTTGCATAATATACCAATTGCTCAATAAGCGTCCACTTACTTCATCTCATCATTTTCTCATTGGGGAATATAATAAAAACTATTATGTTCATTGCTAAGATTTATATGATTATTATATTATTTAGTCTTCACAACAGTTCCATGAAGTAAGTGTCATAGTTATTAACTAATTATCTTGACCAAAATGACCAAAATGATATATAGTGGCTATGCTGAATCTCAAATTTAAGTGTGATTGAGCAAGATTCTCATGGCCAATGGTACATACCAACTCACAAAATATGAAATCCTCTTGGTAATGGAATTAACTTCTTCACCTTCAAATGCTGAACCAAGATATTTAATGAAAGAAAATACTACCAGAAAATGAATCAAATTTATAATATAGAATTACAGCAACATGGATGTGATGATAGATGAACAATGTGATCTATACATTTTAAACATTCACATTTTTCATGAAATGCTTCCTTTATATCCTTAACATCATAAATATGTATAAACTTCTATTAATGTTAGACTCTTTTGTGGTTAACCAGCAAACCAAGGTTCAACGTATGTTTCAACTTCTCCAAATTGCACAATTGCAATGTGTTCCTGCTAATTTGAATGTTGCAAAAACATCTATGACATCTGCATTTTTAGGACTGTAGCCACTTGTTCAGCTTTTAAACATATTTTTAAGAGATTGTTCTTAAAATTCTAATTTTATATGTGTCTAAATCCTCTTGTATTTTCATAATCAATTTGCAAGTATATGGACCTTTCAGCAGTTTTCAGTCTTCAGAGCATTGATGCATAGATCTGGCTGGGTCCAC